TCCTTTTATCTTTCTAATACTCATAAGTAAAATTCTACTTCTCAATATTGTTTTAATTCTTCTAATCTTTTATATGTTCAAAGTTCATATTGATTTCTTTCTTTTATTTTAGTTCGATGCAACTCTTATTCTAAGAAGAATAGCAGCTACTTAGCATTTTAATATGGAATAAGGTGTGTGATTCACATTTATTTCCATGTTTGTGTGATTAAGGATTTTTTTTTATTTGGTATTTGATTTTTTACTAATATTTTCTTGGTTATAATCATTTTGGCTCTTATGAACTTAAATTATTTAACACAAAAGTTATGGTTCACTCATTTTCATTGATTTGACTAATTTTTCTTTAGGGTTTGAAATTTTCTTTTGATGGTTTCCCTAACATCTTTTCTATTATTTGCATGCTATAAATCTACTTGATGTTATATTGGTGATGAATTTATGGTGCCTCAACTTGATGTTGTGTTGGTGATGAATTCATTGTGGTTCTTCAAATTGATGTCTTGTTGTTGATAAATTCATGATGGTTATTCAACTTTATGTTTAAGTTTGGGGAATTTCTTTTCCCACCATTATGCTATGGCTCACACCACTAAACCCAAAATTTCCCTCGGTATTTTTGGAGATGCATTTTCACACGCCCTGAAATCACCTCATCTTGTTAAATCAAGTAGTCATCCCATTTTTGCCAAAAATTGGTCTAATGATGTATCTGCGAATATTTCTAGGGTGAATTCGGAGGTGCATCTTTGAAAACTTACATTTGTGCATCTTGGGCAGAAACATTGTCCTAAGTTTGTAATTTTTTTTAATCCAAGATTATTTTAATTCGACTAATAGTGTCATAATTTGATTCAAACATTAATAAACACAAACATCATAGAACAAGGTAATGCATTAATTAGAAGAAGAAAAAAAGTAGCCTAGAATATTACAAATCTTATTCTCAAAGTATAGAAAATAATATTAAAGCATCCCAAAATGAAAATAAAAGCATAACCTATTGTGTATGCCTAATCCTAACTCATTGGCTCATCCTCTGTCATCGGTAACCCAAGGCATTTTGTGCCTCAGTAAGAATGGGACATGGTCATCTCTTGTCTGCTCATTCTCTAGCATATCCTCATGAGCTGGCTTATATGGACGTCCAGGAGTGTTTGGTGTCATGACAAGATGCGACATACTATAGAACTAAGTCATGTAACTGTCCACATAAGACCACTGATATGTGACTGGCATACTCTGATACTTCTTTGGTACCAGATGACTCTCGTAATCCTCTAGTATGTCATCATGATGTCTACAAATAATGATGTTGATGTGGTTGGCATACTCCGATACTTCTCTGGTACCATATAACTCTCGTAATCCTTTATTATGTAATCATGATGTCTGCAAACAATGTTATTAAGAGCAAAATCGAAGGGGTTCTTGGAATGATCTACACATATCCAAACTGATGAATGCATCGCTTCAGCAGATACTTGGACATCATATTCCTCCCACATGCTAACCATCCGTAATAAAATGAAATAATGTCGAAGGCAACCGTGTCTCGAGGAATGGAGTATGGTATCCATTCGATGTCATCATGTTGAGTTCGGTCAATATACACATAGAACGGACACACAACATCATTTCCTTTGCGCGTGCAATACATGCAAGCCCTTGGTCATTCCTCAGTATAGTCTACCACACAATCAAACCCGTGTGTGCAGTGAAAGTAGGATAGGATCCATCCTTGAAAATGAATAAGAAACAAATATTTGTAACGAGTGTACAAAAATGTATTTTTAAAATTATTAGTGGCTATGGAAATTTTTGTCAACAGGGTGCACGAGCCTGTCATTTGCTTTTTCGTCTAAAGTGAACCTTCACTCAGCCTTGAGTACAGGTAAACCAAACAGGCAGCCCCCAGTTCCACTCGTGAATGGCCGATAAGTTAATGAAGTACTTAAGGTATGCCACATCAACATAGGTTGCACTTTTGTCCACAAACATGAACGTGTCAACCAAGAATGGGAGGTAACACCTCAGAGCACACTCCCAGTGGTAGGTAACATGTAGGTCATCATCGTTGGCTTCTTGGGCTAACTCCAAGTTTTCTCCATAATGCTTCTCCAAGTATGAAAATTTGGCATGAGCATCTCTAGTGCTCTCACATTGTATCAGGGCATCCATCAGGTCATCTTCCAAATAAATAGCCATTATCTCCTAAGCTTCATTACGTTTGATCCTAGAATTATCAAGTAACTTTCCCCCTAATGGAAAGGGGAAAAAGGCAAGAGACGTCATCTAGTGTAATTGTCATCTTGCTAGTGGGAAAGTGGAAAGATGATGTTTCTTTATGCCATCTCTCAACAAAGTCCCTCGGCATGCCATGACTAATGAGCCTAATTCTTTCATCCATAACCGTCTGTGTCCAGACTTAGTTATAATCTAAATGGACAAAGTTCAGAAACGTATATGAAGATATGTCTATACCTTCCCCTAAATAAAAGTAATTTCTTAATGCACTCTATATGTTTTTTACGCACCATGCAAAAATACTAAAATGTCCCCCAGTTTTTGGAGATGCATCTTCGGACGCACCCAATACATATTCAATGCAGGTCATTCTGAGTTTCATCCTATTAGTTGGATTTTATTAATACCAGAGATGCATCTCCAGAATATTTTCGTAGATGCATATTCGTAACACAGACACCAAAAACATGTAATTTTCCAAAATAAAAATAACATTCATAAAATAAAATAGATTTCAACATTAAGTGCAATATTACACTTTAATATCCAGGTAGACGCTTCAACATCTTCACAATATCTTCGACCGGTCTTGAAATCGTCGCTTCCTACTCGAGCGGAATATTTGTTTTGAAACGGAAATATGAATTCCACATAGTTCTTACATCTGCATCTATCTTTAGCTCAAAGTTGATGAACTCAATCTTCCCTTTGTTGTCAATCGACGGTGAATTATACTTGAGTTTCACAATTTTTTTTATTGTCTCCGTAAGATAGGAGATTGTGGATCTTGTATTTCAGATCTGCAAGAGAGGTGTACTCGGTGAGCTTAAACTTTTTCTCGGGTGTCGTGCTAGAGAATTAGACATTTGTGACATACCAGGTGATGTTGATTTATGACATTTGAAACATCTTGTGTTTGTGTGAAATAATAAAACCAGGGCCCTTAAATTTATAGAATTTGTAGACAAATATGGACCATTCAAAATCTGACATCCTGATTCTGGAGATATATCTAGGGTTCTGCATCCTATTTTCTTGTTCCGGAGAAAAAAGTTTATGAAAAACCGTATCAGGTCAGATCAACACACACTATATCATACATGCATTCTATGAGGTGATCCATTTCAAGGAAGTGCTTTCATTTTACCTTCGGTGCCGATCTGCTAAGATAATGAACAAAAGGTTCACAAAGTTCATCGATTTTTTTCTTTCCATACAGTCGTGTGTATTATTCTTTATGAGTCCTCAACTCTTAGATAAGTTGATAGCGGACAACTGTATTATTATTTTCTCCTTTACCGAGTAAAGTTGAAACATACCAGCTCAAAACTACAATTATCGCCCCCCTCAACATTGACGATCCACTCGATGTATTTGTGCATAAAAACTTGCATCTCGTCATTGAGCGGAATCTTTGGTGGAGGCGGCAAAGGAGGTGGTTTGCTAATGCGAGCTCCTTTGACAACACTTTTTTGAGATTTTGGAGTTGGTGAGCCCGGAAAAACATTTTCAACGTGTTTAAAATATAAAGGAGACCGTGTCGTCGAATAGTCATTCAGTGTAGTCTTAAGTTTCTTGGAAGCACCTTTTATTTTCACTGGTTGAGAGGGTGGTTTCTGGATATGCAATTCTCCTCAATTGTTCTTTGATGTGTAGTTTCATGTTTTCATCAGCTTTCAAAAACCTCTTATATCACTTCCCATTCGGTCAAGATAGAGATATTCGATTTACCGTCATTCAAGACATCATCATCATCAAATTGAAGCCTCTTCCAATGAGTGCAAACCTCATAAATTCTTATCGGGCTACCAGGTTTCACCTTTTTGGCAATAACACAAGCACATGGGAGAACATATGTTTTCATGATTGTGCATCCACATTTTACACTATTGTAGCCTACATTATTAGCTCATTTAGCCACGTGAAAAATATAATTCAAACCCGCACGAGATATATTGTCGACCAAATGAGAATAAAGATTGTCGTCTTCAAATCTGTGTTCCAAAACTGTGATGCTCCGACCAAATGATATGTGCATCTCATTATGCTGGTTTTGAATCATTTGGTTCACATAGTCTCAATCTCTACACAAATCACCCTTACTATTTCCCAACCAATTCTTCAATATAGCATGGGCAGATTCAACTCGATTAGTTGTTGTATTTCCGAGGTGTCTAACTAAGCACACACAATTTTCTCCTTCACCTGGTCAAGAAATGAGCTATTAACATATTTCAACAAATCAGGATACTTTTTGCGCACTTTCCTAAAATGCATAACAGAATCGGCATACAATTCTTAAGTGGAAGAATTTACTATATGATTTCACGCATCCATTAAACTTGATTTCTCACGTTCTTTGTTATGTGATACCTACAAAATAATGCATAAGAAGTAGAAATACCTTTGCAACCGAATTCATTAAGGCGGTATCGCGGTCGGTAACAATCACTTTAGGCATCTCTTCTTGATCCTTCAACAGTTTTTGGTACACCTCTAAGGCCCAAGTAATATTCTCCTTTTTTCACTCTCTAGAAGTGCAAACCCAATAGAATATGTCTTTTAATTTGAGGTAACATCAACCATCTCCAATAATTGAAGTTTATACTTGTAGGTTGAATCAAGTATGAGCACAGTAGGAAACGTGTTGGACAAATTTATTGAAACAGGATGAGTCCAAAATATATCTCTAACAGTAACTCCATCCTCGCACGTTTGGTACCTAGACATGTAATTGTTATCATCCAACAGTTTCAAGAGTTGTTGCATTTCAGTTCTATCCCCTCTAAGCGCCTTGTTAGTTTGGTATCGAATATTATAGACTTTCTTGATATTTGATATATTTTCGGGTCTTTTCCGTTTGCAAGTATCTTTTTCATTTGAACCATATTCAATGTCATGTCAGCAACGCGTTCCTTCTCTTCCGACATGAGCCTACACACACTAGGATGACCGACTAACTTTTCACACAAATCATGGCTATGTATACCACATATGACATTAAATCTCTAATTTTTATTTGGCGACATGTAACCACGCACCTTAAAGGAACACTCACATTTTCTTGAACCAGTGTCGTCTCTTTTAAATTTTCGAAGAGAATGTCTATATTTTCTGCTTCTTTCGCACGTTATTGTCACAAAAGCGCATGTTCTATCTAAAACATTATCGGACCTTCTGATAACCACACCAAATCCAAGTTTTGAGACCTCCATATGAATCCATTTAATCACAAGATTCACAACAAGATTAATGTTGCCAATAAACTCTTGTTCATTTTTAAAATTGTTGTCAACATCTACCTCCTTCACAATAAGACCTTGGACATTCGAAGAAATGACTTGTTTGGGGAAAACATCAGGGTGCACCATATCTAATGAAAACAATTACCACGTAACAGTAAATAAGCGCTACAGTTGAAAACAAAATTAAAAAATGAACACAGACTGGTATTGAAAATGCATTTTCGAAAAAATTCATACTCGTTCCGAATATAAACTTTTAGAAAAAAACGCTCGTTTTTCATACCAAAAACAGAATTAATGTGAAAAATGCAGCTTGAAATAAATGATTTTTAGCTAAAATTCTAACTTCTTTTCCTCTCTTTGGTATGATGAACCACAAGATTGGAGATTTAGAGTGAAAATGTGGATTGACAATGGAAGGGTTTTTGGTAAGCGTTTGTAAAGAAATACAATAATAGTTGTGTGATCATGCAGCTTTGTTTTATCAGATTATTTGTGACGGAAAATTATAAAATCTCGTCCAAACATCCGAAGATACAGCTCCAAAATTTTCACTAAGCTAATCAATTAAGAATATATTTCTTAAAAAATTTCGAAGATACATCTCCGATATTAAAAAACCCAACTTATAAGACACTACTCATAATAGCTATTGTTGAGTATATATTAAATACATTTGGATATGCATTTTTGAAAATTATAAAACCAGCCAGCGCTTATATATATATATATATATATATATATATATATATATATATATATATATATATATATATATATATATATATATACACACACACACAGAGAGAGACGAACATCACAGCACACCACTTTTACTAAACAAATCTTATAAAATGAAGTTGTGTACATAAATTATATGGTTTTATAAAGTTGTGTATATAAATTAGAGACTAAAAAGCTAATGAGTCACTTTAAACCAATTTTCTTTTCTTAAATGACACTAAATGTAAAGAAAGTAATATTTTACATTCAAAAATAAGTTGGAATGAGCAATTTATCAGCCTATTTAGTTTGCAACACATTCTTGCAAGTAACTTCTGTACCAATCAAACAAATAACTTGTATGTATGGAGTGATACACATTCAAGAAAAATAAAACATCATTGAATGTAATAATATAGTACTATTGTTATCAATGGATCCATTTGGTCTATTTTGAAGAATACGTATCAATCTATCAAATAACTTATTATACTCTTATGATGAACAAAGATCCTCATGATGAACAAAGATACATAGTAAACATGTTCATAGAAGATGCAATTCAAGTCTCTTTAGATATAATTAATGTTTGTGTATTTGATATTCAAGGTCAAACTCCCAATTAAAACAAGAGCGTTGTAAGAAAATCATTACCGAAAAACATATAGAACTACTAGCAAAATGCATTCAGTAACCAAGTACTGTCTGAAGCTCTAAAACATAAGTGTGATAATTAGGCAACAAAGGCTAATCAAGCAAATAAAATATTGGTAAAAAAGTTTCAACCAAAAAGTATTTAATTTGTAGCCAAAATTGGAACTGATCAGCGTTTACCGCCGCCACCGCCCAATTTAGGACCCTTGGGCAAACCACCTTTCTGAACATTGCCTTTGCCTGATTTTTGTGACTTAGATGCTACTTCTGCTTTCTTCGCTTTCTTCTCATCCTTTGTTTTCTTAATCCTCTCTTTGATTTCACTACAGGTAGAGCTCAGATAATTAGATATACAATCCATATTTGTGAGAGGAAAAACAGCAGATAAAAATGAAAATGAAACTCTACACTTCATAAAAAAGAGTGTATAAAAAACATGCGAAACATGTTGGAAAACAGATGTCTGTAAAAATAAAATAAAAGCTTTCAAACAGTAAGGTGCATATATAAGAAACACACCGCAGAGCAGCTTCCCTGGCTGCATCTCGAACTTCAGGCTTCTCAGCTCTTTTCTTCTGAATGACTTCCAGGGTAGCACCAACAATGGACCTAGAGTATGGCTTCTTGGTAGCACGGCGTCTCTTCTTCACAGCTTCTTGGGCGATGTCCTGCACATCACATTCATAAAATTAAATAAGATGCATGCAACAATATATGGAATTACGGGACAAGCTGATGATCTAAAACTTCGGTAATAACTTGGTGCATGGTAACACAAGTAACTACAAAATCTTCACATTGTAACTATGTTTGTTGATTAAAATTTTATTTCAACATGTTCAGAAGCTGAAATTATTATATTGCTTTTGTTCAATTTATATTACAAATATGTCAATAAAAAGTTGAACAATCACCTTCTTGTGTTGCTTTCTGTACATGGCAGTCCATGTGAGCTTTGAAGGCTTCAAACGGTTGTGGAAATACCTCTTACATTTCGAGTTCACAAATAGAAAAACCTGTACAATCAACAAAAAGCTTATATGTCAATAAAACTAAGACTAAACAAAAATCTTAGCAAACACAACACACAACACAGAAATTATATTATATAAATGTGAAAACCCAAAACCTAACACTAGTCAAAATTATATCACCTGTGAATCACTACGAATAAATCTGATGCCTCTTCCTGGATAGATCTTTGCGCCACTGAATCGGCAGAGTTCAGTCCTGATATGGCAAAATCAATTACTAATTATTACATTGGAGAGGCATTAAATAAATAAAAAGCTACTAATTCAATCAAAATACAATGACACTGATTGGTCCAGAATTAATCAAAATGCAGTGACACTAATTCAATTAAAATCATATGAAGGATAAATTTCTAATAATCTAGTTAACCAAAATAGAAACTGCATTACCAAGAAGTTACAAAAAACCTGTAAATTTAAAAATCATCACAATAAAATTGCAAGAAAGCCCTCATCTAAAGTAACCAACAAATTAAATCAAAAACACTAACCTATATCTTGCTAATAATTTTTGGTAAACTCTAAATAGCTGAATATAATGTCATTTTAGAACTAATTGTAATCACATTCTATGACATTCAGAATAATGAATACCAAACAATTTTTTGATAAAAGACGTTAGAATTTTGGATTCAATCATACTAGATCTCGCTTTAGAACATAAACCCTAGGGAAACTAAATAAGCCAAACAAATCTACGAATTAAAACTGTGTAAATGATTACCGATTATTGTGAATAAGATGAATAATCAACACATGCAATATAGATTATTAATAGAATAAACGAGTTAATGGATGCAGAATTTGGAATCGTTGATGAAAATACTAGAGATGATCGAAGAAAGCGGCATGAATACATACTTGAGAACCATTGCTTCGTTGGTGGTGGTGGCTACGGCGGCTGAGGAAAACCCTAAATCTCGAAATGCGCCTCTATATGATTTGTTGTAAACCCAAATTCACGTAAATGCGCATCGGCTCCGATCTGTTTTCTTATTGGGCCATGCTGAAATATCCCATCTATAGGGGTGTATTTGAATGATATTGTTTTAAACACTATACCCCCACCCACATAATATTCAATATGCTTAATAAAATATATTTGGCATATATACTCTACAAAATGTTATGTTTTATTTTTAGATTACTCAAAAGAAAAAATTTCTTTGTAAGAAAAATTATATTGGTTAAATTTACATATTATGAATTTATACTATTAGAGTGGCAAACGGGCATCTCTGTTCCGTTTAGGTCCGTTTCACAAAAGTCTAAAGAAATACTGATAGACTTTAGTAAGTGTGCGGGTCTAAAAACTTTTCCTACTCTATAAAAAAAGGATTTTCTTATTCTATCTTATGGGATGGAAAAACAACATATAAAAATCTGAAAATACTCCTCTGATTCTAGAAATGTATTTTCGAAAGCACCTCATATATGCACAATTCATTCATTTTTAAACTACACTCCAATTTTATGAATAAATTTATTTCGGAAATACATTTTCAAAACCTACTAAAGATAAGAAACTTGGTAGGTTTTAAGAAACTTGATATTCCATCACAGCAATCTCAATTTTGAGATAAAAAAATTTTCAAAATTGAATTCGCTTGAATTTTTATCTATCAATCATTGTGTTAATTTGAGTTTATATTTCATGGAACACAACTTCCTAGTCTCGAAATTTTTATTCTTTTTTTCTATGCAAGTTTAAATGATTCGTCATTGTAGAAAGTTGGAATTGCCAGTGGGTCATGACAACCAAATTCCTAAGTTTAATTTGAAGTTTCTTACTCTTGAATATTTGGCACAATTAATGACTTTTTCTCAATGGTTTCAAGGATGTACAAACACTACAACTCTTGGCAATTTGTGACTATAAATAGAAGAATACATAAGAAGCTCACTACGATACAGGGTTGCGAGACACTCATGTTTCTGAAAATGCAATCAGTAGGTTTTGGAATTGTATTTCTGAACTAAATTTATACATAGAAATGGGATATGGTTCAAAAATGAATGGATTGTGCGTGCATGGGATGCGTCTGAAGATGCATCTCTAAAATTTGATGGTATTATTATATTTTCACGAAGTGTGATAATAATCCATAGGATGCATTAAGAAATTCCCATAAAAATGAGTGTGGGGCGGGGCGGGCCTGTAGAATTTGCATTTTTTAAGCCTAAAATTTACCGATTTTAAAGTTAATGCTTACGCCTGCAAAAACATGGGAAAAACGGAACAGAACAAGACAGATATATTAGAGAGTGTGAGACTAAAATCATGATTTGTCCCACAAAAATGTACGGGTAAAATGAACATGTCGGACAGCCGGAACCGTTTTGCCACCGTATATGTTTCAAGTGTTAGGATCTATATCAAAAAAAATCAACAAGAGTTTTTTTTTTATGAAAAACATTTTCAAAATTTTTAGTTAAATCAACGTTGTAAATTAAAATTTAGTTTTTAAAAAAATGTCAATTTTGTACATTAAAACAAATGAAGACTTCATTTGGTATGTGAAAAGAAACACTTTAGTCCCTACAAAAATAAATTGGAACAATCTAATCATATTTTATTTAAATTTTGTTTGGTGAATTTTTTAAAACAACCGCTATTTTTAAACTAAATACCAAAATAATAATTTTTTCAAATTATTTAACAAATTAATTACTTTTCAAATAAGAAAATAGTCGACAAGAGAAGTAGCCACAAAAGGTGGCGCATGCTTTGATCATTTGAAATAACAGGCCACTCCTAGTGGCAAATGCATACAAATGATGTCATTGCAACTGGCGCATGCATGCATTCAATAGGAGGATGTGCCACAGACAGTGGCTTTTGCTTTGTTTTGTTTTTTATTTTAATAATTTTAATTTTTAAAAAATGAAACAAAATAGAAAATTAAAAATAATTTATAATACTATTTCATAAAATTCAATTACACAATGATTGAATACAAAATCAATAATTCGTCTGATCGAAACGTTCTTTGATTCCACATCCCGGCGCATTTGCCTACCTTCGAGGTCTCCCACAATTTTCGTGAGGTAGTCTTTGAGTATTGGCTTGAGGAAAAGGTGGTTGGTGCGAGGGTTCTGGCGTATTTAAATAAATTTCAATCATTTTTCTCCAATAGTCAGGGTTGCCGCCAACGGGGCTGCCGTAATCGAGTCAGATGCTCATGTATTCGTAGTTTGGTTGTTGTGGTTGGGTTATGTGTGGAAGTTATGGTTGGTTAAATTGGGACATTGAATCATTTTGGAAACGAATCAATGGTTCTTGTGGTGCAAGAAAGTCATATGGTGGTTAGGTGCTTTGGTGGTGGGATGTTTAGGTGTTCATTGGTGGATGGGCTATGGTGGGATGGGTGGAATCGTATGAATTATCGGGGCTATTGACAAATGTGGCGGCGAGATATGATTGTTGGTGGTATGGGTCATGCTCTTGGTTTTGTGTTTGGGTGTGTGGCATGTATTGGTTGCGAGGTTGAGTGTTTGTGGTTGGGTGTATATGGTATGGTGACGTTGTGAGGTTGGTCATTGGGTTTGGGTCGGTTGACATTTTTGTTAGGTTTGGTAATGGTGTGGAGTAGGTTGTTGGGTTTCGTAATGGTGTGAGTTGGTTTTTGGGCGTATGATGATAAAGCTTGTTGGCATGGGTCGATTAAATACCTAGGCTCAAACACAAACTGTGTCATTGTAACCGACCAAAATAAATTCAAATAATGCATAGTTAGTTTAGCACCTTGTATGATAGGTTCGTTTAAGATGTGTTGATGTCGATTCCTCCATTGATGACATATCTCTTTAGCGAAGTCTTTCCAATCAGAATAACCCAATTGGGCATCTAATATAATGCAGAGTTGGTTTAGCACCTTGATTAACGCCATTGACCCCATTGCCGAAAAATTGAAAGTGATTGAGTGTTTGTTGCTGACAAAATGGATAGGTTGAGTGTGTTTGATGGAAATGCTGAGAAACATAGCCATATTTATAGATGGGAGTTAAGGTTCACATGAAGCATTGTTGCATGTGACTTCTAATACACGATCCATTGGGTATGTCGCATAGGTTTCTTTTTGAGAGCATACGTTATTCAAAATGGCACCTCCTAGGGCATAGATTCGTGGCAGGCAGGGCTATCTCACTAACTTCCTAGACTCATGCATGCAAGATTCATGTAGGTTATATCACTAGGCTCGGGCATGCAAACCAAAGTAGAAGCCAATGAAAATGGTGCATGTGTTAAGATAAAAGAGAACAAGCCAATGTAAATGGTGCATGGGTTA